TTCTTTAATCCAATATACGGTATGAATTGCTAAATTCTTTTATTTTTGGTTGTTCAATATTTTCATATCCTTTTATTTTGATTGATGTTAAGTGCTATTATCTTTTCATGAGTTCAATTATATTTTTCTCATTGTTAAGAATTGACTTGACATGCTTTTAAATTAAAAGAGTAGATATTAAGTAACTCCATTTTCTGAACAATCATTAATAAAAGATTACATTGAAAAATTAAATTGGTTTTAATTTCTTTATCTTCCGGTTAAAGTTTCTCAATGATGATTTTAATCGAGTTATAATTTGGATTAAAGAGCATGAAACATATTTAGTTTAAAGAATTGAACCTTGATGCCTTAGCATTTCCATTATTGATATTTCATTTTTAAACTCAATTTTTCACAACAACCAAATCAAATTACTTTTCCATTTTGCTTGTTACTTTTATTGTGGTACGTTTAATTATTTCTTCGTGTGCAGATACTTGCCTACCTGCTCCTTGAGGATACGATACTTGGGTAGACGCAACAGGTTTTTATTGTCATGGAAAACTTTTTCCTAAAAATAACTCACATATTATTATTTCAAAGTGTACTACCAGACGCATTTTTATTTCCTGAAAATGCAAATTCGTTTTTTTGTTTTCATTCTCTGATAATATTCTCTGAAAACATTCTCTGAAAACGTTACCGGATTAATTTTCTTTGGGCCTCGAGCGAGACAACTCTGAGCCGCCGCATGATTTCGTTTAAGTCTCCGCCGCAAAACCAAGGAGCATCAGTAGCAAGGATGCTTCCAGACCATGCCAAAAGTCTTCTTTCTTGTCTCTGTATGGATTTCCATAAATCCAAGAGGTACGGACACGAGTGCCATTAAGAGGAGTCTGCAGCCAACAATCAATCAAATTTTCGAATAAAGCAACAATATCACAAGTTATCGTATCATACCACCAAACGCTCAAGCCCCTCGCCAGACCTATTGGGGGAACATGAAACCCATTGTGGGATAATCCCCGCTCAAGGTTCCCCTTGCCTCTGGCCACAAAGTGTTTCCAATGGGTTTTGAACCCTTGTCATTGAGGCACCAGATAGCTCATTAGTTGAAGGTGGCAATTTGCCAACAACACCACATCTAGTGGTTATGTAATGTTCCTTTGGATTTAATGAAATACCATAGATAGTGAATGATGAAACATTCAAAATACCATAAAATGCCCATAATTAATGATAATATTAAGAATTGAAAATATAATAAATAAGTATAATATAGTAAATTTATACTTTTGTGTATTAAAAAAATTAAAAAAAAAAAATCAGAATCTGGATCCTATTAAAAACACATAAAAAATTCAATATATATATATATATCTATATATATATATATTAATTTTAATAAACATTTTCATAATCTTTGAAAAAAATAAGCCAATTGGCAGAGCTTTTGCCAAGAGGTTAGTAAAATAACACCAACCAGGATGTGAATTTACTAAAATTATTTGAATTACAATGCAGATTACATCTTTCACAGTAATAAGATTCACCTACTGCCATGCATTGCATTATTCATACATAATTATAAAGAAAGAAACTCAACCATCTGTTTTACTTGGCTGGAGAAATCAATCGTCCATAGCTACGTTTTTTTTTTTTTTTTGAAGTAGTAAATGTTTATTAAAATTGTGAAAGGTTACAGACTCGAGCGACCAAACGTGGCCTCATTAAAACCTTGCCCAGGAAAACCCAGTGGGACAAAACCTGGGACGAAGGAAAAAGAGTGCCACACGCTCCATTATGGCTACAAACAAAAGATCATGACAACTCTAGATTATTAGCGTCAGCTTGAAGAAACACATTGATCCATGGAGGACCATCTTCAAGCCAAATGTCTTTTGACACACTACCTAAAGCAAACTTAGCAAGTCTATCAGCCACAGTATTACACAATCTGGGAGCAAATACAAAAGAGAGTGAATGAATTACTTTATTTTTGAAAATGTTTCTCACTGAAGACCAATTAATAAGCTGATATTATATATATATTTTCCATATATCTGCTCTGTATTTCTCAGCTTATAGCTTGCTATATAACTTATGCAGTATAATATCTTCATAGAAGTGCTTCTTGAAAGCATCCATATGGGCCACTTGTAAACACAAAGTCAGAACCATAGAACCATCTCCATCAGGACTTGGAAGGAGGAAGGATTCCCCATCAAAATCATATGTTCCTGAACCCATATAAATTTCCTTTCCCCATCCAAAGTCAAGCCCATATATAGGCAGTGTCGACCAACTCACAACCTCAAGATTAGGGTTTCCATAAAAATTCCCTTCGGCAATCCCTAAAGCATGAAGGTCTTGAAACCTAGTCAAGTCCGGTTGGTTCCTGAAGTGATCAATGGCGGACAGCACATAATCATTCGACACCTTCTCGATTGCCTCCCTTATTCTACTCGACGCGTACCCTAATGGCTTGGACACCAAGTCACCAGCAAGACTTCTAGCAACCCCATAAAATGTGGCATTTCCAAAGTATCCTTGGGGTAATGGGGGTAGCATACGACTCCTCAAATCAACGCAAACTCCCATTGCCGTAGGTTGTTCATTTCTGTGAACTCTAGCCTTAGACGCACATCTCCATATGTGCCCTGCCACAGTCTCATACCTTGTGTAACCCCGCTTAGTGCCAGAATTATTGTAATCATTCCCCTCGTTTGCCATTCGCTTAAGTTTCTCAACTTGTTGCTTGGTTAGCTTCAACATGGCCACAGTGGTCTTCTTCTTCCTCTCCTCGATATTATCCGATTGGCCGAGCAAAAGGGGTAGACGGTCTAACTCTGAGTGGTCAAGCCCTAGAGTATTTCCAGCTGGGAGTGTTCGAGCTTGAAAGGCCTTTCGATCCAGAAACGGCATTACACCAATTGGCTCACCCTTTGCAAGCCTAGCCCACTCAGAAATGAAATGAAATGTACTTTGCCCATCAACAACAGCATGTGAAATAGTCAAGCCAAGACTAAGACCACCACACCTGAACCTAGTCAACTGTACCAGCAATATAGGAAGTTCATGAATTGGGAGGGTGTAGTCTACAGTGGGGATAATATAGTCATATTCTGGAGAAGGAGAGAAGTCACCAAGGTCATCGAGTTTTGAATCGGACTCTGCTTCAATGAACTGAACCCCCATGCCATTGCAATCGAGCTCGAGACGGCCTCCACCAATCCAATGCAAACGACCGGCTAGTGGATAGAATGGCACCAATGCGCGGCATAATGAGTCTTTGAGAGTGTTGACAGTGGCGTCAGGTTGTGAGACAAAATTTTGGTCTGGTCTGTAGAAGTAGATAATGCTAACATGACTTACGGTGCCAACTTGATCCGATTCTGAGAGAGCTAGGCTACCTTGCAATGTTGGTGTAGAGGGTTTCAGAACATAGCAGCCTTTGATTTTCACCACCATCGTTCTTCTTTTTTTCAAAATTTGAGTAGGTTATGAATAGATGTGGCAGACGATATGGTATTGGTTTTTATAGAACTGATTTATGGACACTAATCCCTCCTTAGCATTCCTACTTCCTACAAATCAAAGTTTGACACATATACAAAAATAATTCATCTTTTTAAAAAGAAGAATCTTAACACATATGATTTTAAATAGTTTCAACTCTTTAAAAATTTGAACTGGATAAACTTTTTAACTACGTCCTGAATTTTCTCCAGCACTACCAAGATGTAGAAAAGATAAACACAAGTGAATTTTCTACAGCAATCTGAACAAACCCACTACTTCCTTTTTTTTTTTTTTTTTTTTCAAGAGAAACCAATTATCTGCAGCAATCGGTGGAATAGATTGAACTGGGATTCCTTAATATATACGAGTTTCTCATTATGTGGGGCATCAAAGAGGCGTGGGAGAGGGAGAGTGTAAAAAGTAAGAATTAGAGAGAGAGAAGAGAGAGAGAGTGGAAGAAAGCCGAAAGATTACTGGGTTTTGGTTTGCACACTTCGCCTCTTCTCTGACTGATCGATACCTTTGAGCCATGCCCTGCTACAGTACGCATCACCCGAATGGCAGCCTGGATCAGAGTATCCGCTATCCAGTTGGAATGCTTTGATGTCTCGGCTCTCAAGAGAATTGGTAATTTACTGGGTAAATTACTGAAAATTGATGCTCTCACCACAAGCCAGAACAGAGGTAAATTTGCTCGACTCTGTATTGAACTAGATATGACCAAGCCCCTGGATGCCTTTATACAGATCAATCAAATTTGGTATAGCATTGAGTATGAAGTCTGCTATCATTGCGGACTATATGGACATAAAAGTGACAGCTGTACGCAAAGAAGGAAGCCTACTACAGAAATGCCTGAAGGGAATCGATCTGACCCAAGTGGGGAACAAGTGGGACAAGATACTATTATGGAAAAGGAAAGTGGTGAAGAGGTAGTGGAGAACTTGAGGGGACCGTGGATGAACGTTCCACCTAGAAGGAAAACTAAGACCGGTGCAAAAATTTGGGGTGGGGAAAGTAACAGCCTTAAGCCCCATGGCTCTCGTTTTGATGCTCTCGAGAAGATTACTGAAGAGTTTGGAACAGAATCCGCGGAGGCATTTGTCGATGTCATCCCAACCAATAAGGTGACCAATAAGATTAATTATGATGCTGGGGTGAAAATATGGACCAAGTCTAACAAAGCTAAAGGTGCAGGTAGACCGGCTATGAAAGATATCTCAAACAGAAGTATGGCTTCAAGTTCCAGAGGGGCAACTGATCAGCAGAAAAGAGTGAATCCTAAAGACAATACTCAGACTGTAATATTGAACAAAGGAAAGCTTGACACAATGTGCTGCAACTTACATTAAAAACTCGAGGTTATGAGTGAATCTCATTAATAAACATAAAAATATACACATGGTAGGAAGACATAATGAGCCTTACCATCAAATGCATCTCTATACATAAATAGAAGTAAAGAGAAAAAAAAAAAACCTATTATTTTTCATTTAAAAAAATTTCCAACAAATTCTTTATTTTCTTGGGGTTCGGATTGTGATATGACATAACAAAAGAGAACCTATTTAATCCAACATCTCAACAAAGAATCGAATAAATCCTCATAATAGCATCAATGCCTTTAATCAAACGTTAACATACCAACAACAAATCAAAACATCTCAAAAATACCAATATCAAATCAAACATCTCAACAGAATTCCAAAAATCAAAAACCTAATTAATTTCAACAAAGTCAGCAAATTATAATTCATTCTTTAAGTAAACTCTAAAATAGATTAGAGCACATAACTTCTAACCTATTTAGAATATATTAAATTCAATGTTGTCATATACAAAATCTTAAAATTTGGGGGTAGGAAATTAAAGAGAAGATAATTAAAGAGGAGATAATTAAAGAGAAAAGACATATGGCTTACTTTTTGGATGGGCATGGTTTGTATGTTTCACATGGATAGGCATGGTTTGTATGTTTCACATGGGTGGGCAATGGTTTGTATGTTTCACATGGATGGGCCTACTCTATATGGGTATTTTTTATTTTTGAAAATTTTTGGGTAGGCTTGCCCTAGGTGTAGGACCGCCCCTGGCTGCAACCCTCCCAAGCCGTGTCAGTAAGTGATAAGGTCGGTGAATGGGTGAGAAACCAGAACGTTCAATCTACTAAAGGGGCGTTCATCTTTGGACACCAACCTCTGAATATTACCGGCAGTGGCGGACCCAAGAATTTATTAGAGAAGGGGCAATATTCAATTGAAGATTACTAGTAATGTTTCATAACTTTATAATTAAAAAATACAGAGAGAGCTACATAAAAAATATATATATATTATTAAAAAACATATTATAAAAAAATAGAAATAAAAAACCAGAAGAAAAAAAGATTAAAAGGAGAGAAAAAAAAACACAGACCTTGAGATTTGGGTCTGTTGACTTCTTCAATTCAATTTAGGACTCTCTTTATATTAAATTATTAATAATATTAATTGTACTTTGGCATTGGGTTCCTATCCGCAAGACATAAGGCTTTATCCCTATTTTTGTTCATTGCCCTGGTCCAAAACGAGTCGTTTTGGCCAGGGACTTTTAAAAAAAATGAATGCGGCTGTGCTGCGTGCAACAGCCCAACAACGCAACACACAGCAAACAAAAAGCAATTTCACAGAGGCATTTCTTCGAGCAGATTGTGGGCACTTCTATGGCAGAGCTGAGGGGCAAATTCCACAACCTCCATAGCTCTTTCCGGCGAGAGGAGGTGCATATGCACCTCTTTGCGCCTCTGTAGGTCCGCCTCTGATTACCGGTGGGCATGATAGATTGGTTAATGAGAGGGAAGCTGATAAATTGTTTGACGCTTTAGCCTCTGATGCAACTGATAGTTTCTATATAGTGGAAGGCATGGACCTTGCTGAAGGTCAAGATCACACCATTGGCGAAGAAAGGGTAAATCTTGTTGGTTTGTCTGATAGAGGTATGCCTCTTGGTCTATAATGGATGGGTTTAGCCCCCAGGTTATCTGTTTTATCAACAATCTTTTATGGATATTTTATGCTGGAACTGATTAAAATTCATTCTATTGATATTTTGTTTATCTGTGAACCTATAATTTGAGGTGAGAAGGCCCTTAAAATGGTCAAATCATTGGGTTTCTCAAATTTTGAAGTGGTGGATCCTATTGGACTTTCTGGAGGTATGTGGGGATATTTACTGGAATATATGCTAATCCTTGCTTCACCAAAAGAGCAAAATTATGGGAGTACTTGAATTTTGTTGCTAACTGTCACCATATGCCTTGGCTTATTGCTGGAGATTTTAATGGCATGCTCAAAACAGATGAGAAAATGGGGGCCATTACACCGGCTCAGGGGTTTTAAAAAGTGGTTTGATGAGAATAACATGATTGACTTGGGCTATTCTGGCCCTAAGTTCACTTGGACTAATAACAGAGTCTTTGAACGTATTGTTGAAGCCTTTGTTCAACATCTCCCAAGGACAAAATCCGACCATTGTCCCATCAAAATTTGTCTGAAGTCTCGCATTGGGCCTTGCCCAAATCGAAGATCCTTCAGGTTTGAAACGATGTGGTTAAAGCATGACCAGTTCCATGATTTTATTTCTCAGTAATGGAATCAAGGGTCTGGCTTGGCCCTTGCGAAGTCTCGTAGTTTGGTGGAACCTCTAAAGCATTGGAAACTTGCTGTTTTTGGCTATCTGAAGCAAAGAAAAGCTCGTTTACTTGCTCGTCTCAACGGTATCCAACGTGGTATGTGCCATAGACCTAATAGATTTCTCACCCAACTGGAGGAATCTCTCTCGACTGAATACAATATCATTTTAGACCAAGAAGCCTTGTTTTGGCAGCAAAAGTCAAGAGTCAAATGGCTACAGGAGGGTGATCGAAATACTAAGTTTTTCCACCTCTTTACTATTGTCAGAAGACGCAGGAACAAAATTGAAAAGCTGAAGAACAATGCTGGAGTTTGGGTAGAGGAAGCTATTGAGCTAAAGAAGTTAGCGGTGGACTACTTTATGGGGCTTTTTTGTTCGAACCAGCCGGATAACACCAATACTCCCATGCCTAAGCTGTTCCCCAGCCTAAGGGAGGATGAGCTCAACCCCTTAGTGGCTAGTATTGATATCAATGAGGTCAAGGAAAGTCTTTTCAATATTGGTAGCCTGAAAACCCCAGGAGTGGATGGGTTTCCTGCTTGCTTCTATCAAAATCAATGGCAGCTTTGTGGTAATGATATTTTCGACCTTGTCACCGAAGCATTCAGGGAATGTCGAATCCCCGAAGGTTTGAATGCCACTTTGGTAACTCTCATCCCTAAAATAGATAACCCTATGTCTATGATGCATTTTAGACCAATTAGTCTTTGCTGCACTCTGTACAAGGTAATTTCTAAAGTGATCTTGGCCAGATTGAGACCTCTTTTGGCTAAGCTTGTCAGTTCTCATCAGGTAAGCTTTATCCCAGGTGGGCATATATCTGATAATATTCTGATTGCTCAAGAGCTCATGTTTAAATTCAGAAATACTAAAAGGAAAAAAGGTTTTATTGCTTGGAAGATTGACCTTTCTAAAGCCTATGACAGATTAAACTGGAGTTTTATCAGGACAGTTCTCAAGGAAGTCGGTTTACCTGCAAATCTCATCCAGCTGATCACTCACTGTGTTTCTTTTGTTACTTATCAAGTCTGTGTCAATAGGGAGTTCACTGAGACTTTCACCCCTAAGAATGGCACCCGTCAGGGAAACCCCCTCTCGCCTTACCTCTTCGTCATTTGCATGGAGAAGTTTTCTCACCTCATTGTGGAAGCAGTGAAGAATTGCAATTGGAAACCTGTGAAATCCTCCTAGGGTGGCCCGTATGTCTCCCATCTGTTCTTTGCTGATGATTTGATTTTGTTTGCAGAAACTACTCCTCAACAAGCTCATATTATGAAGCAGTGTCTGGATGACTTTTGTAGAGCCTCGGGCCAAGTTGTCAATTTTGAGAAATCTGCGATTTTTCCCCAAATATTAGCAAGGATTTAGCGTCTGATATTAGTCACATTTGTGGTTCACCTCTCACGAATAACTTGGGTAAGTACCACGAATAACTTGGGTAAGTACCTGGGGATGCTCTTACTTCACGCTTGGGTAACCAAGACTACCTACAACAATCTGGTTGACAAGATGCATGCCAGACTTGCTTCCTGGAAAAGCAGAGTCCTTTCTTCTGCAGGTAGAGCAACTCTAATCCATGCCGTCACCTCCGATATTCCTGTTTTTGCCATGCAAACTGCCAAGCTGCCCATGAGCATATGTGATGGGCTGGATAAATTAAACCGCAATTTCTTTTGGGGAGGTAGTGACAAAAAGACTAAGGTTCATCTTTGTCAGTGGGATCTGTTGTGCAGACCTAAGAGTAAAGGGGGTCTGGGTTTCAAAAAAACTCACGACATGAACAAAGCCCTGCTAGCTAAAACTGGTTAGAGACTTTTAAAAAAAGATGAGTTATAGGCCCAGATTTTTGAGAAAAAATACCTAAGGGGCCACTCCCCTTGTGATCCCAATTTACTTCTCAAACAAAATTGCTCTCTCACCTGGAAGGGTATTGTGTTTGGCTCTCAACTTCTAGAGAAAGGTCTGATCTAGAGGCTTGGGAAAGGGGACAATATTAGCTTCTGGAAGGATAAGTGGATTGCCAATGAAACTCTTATCCATATGGTGGAGGTTAACCCTGATTCTAGTATGGACAC